AGTGGGCCGGGTAAACATCATTTCGTTGGCTACAAGTAGGAAAAAGCGAATTCGATTTCGAGTTCGGACGAGTCCGGACGGGCCCGATATGTGAAGTCGTGCACGGAAGCCGTCACCTTCAAGTCAAAAGCTTTGAGAGAATAGGTTTTCAAGAATAAGTTGGATTTAAAAGCACAATTGCGTAGAAGGCTTTATTAGCGACGCATAGGAAAAAACAGAACTCAATTCCGAGTTCGGACGAGCCCAAAACGCAAAAGTTGCGCAGCCGAGCCAGCAGCCCCGCGCGCCGCGGCGCGGCGACCCCTCCGCGGCGCGACACCAGCACTTCTTCACGGCGCGAAACCCCTCCGCGGTGCGGCACGGACGTTCTTCACACCGCGGCACATCCCGTGGCGTCCATCACGTGCGAACAGAGACGCCCCAAGCCTACCCCTCGACGCTGCGGCATAGCACCACGCCGCGGTGCACAGCTCCCTCGCGCCGCAGCACATGTTCTCCACGCCGTGATACCTGTTACCTATATATTTGTGCGGGACTCGATCAGAAAAGGGAATTCGACCCTCTTGGCTGAAAACCCTAGGATCGGGAAAAACACCGAACACTCCTATCCTCTCATTTCCTTCTTCTTCCTCCTCGTTTTCTTCGTTCTTTTCACTTTTCTTTTCCATTTTTCTTCTTCTTCTTCTTAGTTATCAAGGATTAAGCTTTGTACTTTGGGATTCAACACTTGGACTAAAATAAATTGTAAGTTTCTTTTCTCTTTGAATTAATTTATAAATAATGATTGATTTGGGAGAGATGATTATTGGTGTTGAATTTATTTTACATAGCTAATTCTTATTGCTAGGGATAGGGGATAATTATTCATGTTTCAGGTGCATTTGTCGGGCTTGATTTGTTCATACTTATGTGAGTTGATATAATTCGGAATTGATGAATTCTTGCTTGATAGTTTGATATAATCGAAGGGTGACACTTCGATCTTGCGATTGGAAACAATTGAATATTGATTGTCGAGTTAGGATTTGTCGATTCTATATGATTAGTTGATTAAACACCTTCTAATTTAATTAGCGACTTTTAGAATCGAAAGGGGAGAAGTCGTAGACCTAGGCTTGCATGAGATAGATAATTTCGTAACTGAATAATCTATGGGTTGAGATTGAAATACGTGCTTGTCAATGACCCGTCCCTTGTTACGAAAAGTTATTGGGATTGGGATAATTGGCCTGTGTTGTATGCTTGAGCTTGTTCGTCTATGTTCAATCCCTTGTAACGAAGAGTTATTGGGAGCGAACCGCTAGATGTTTAAGCGAGAGTGTCAATCTCGAACCGAACAATTGATTTCCCGGTTTTGCTAAGAACTTGAATAAATTATCCCCGATTCCCTAGCAACCCATCTTTGTTTCGTTCTTTCATTTTTAGGTAGATTGTTGTTTTATTTTATTTCTTAGTTAATAATTCATCAAAACCCCTATCTGATTAGAGTGTTTAGGATTTATTTTCTTTTTCTGTGTTATCAATACCAAAGCTAAATTCCGAACCGCCTTCCTCGAGAGATCGACCCGGGAAACGAATCATTGATTCGGTACTCGGTGAAATATAACAATTTGTACACAACAGACCAATTAAGAGTTGTTAGCGCTATCAGCTCGACAATCGGGTTTGACTCTGTTAGGAAGCTTGGTATGATAGTTCGAGGTACATGTAAGCTCTGGTTGCAGATTAGAAAGTTAGGCTCATCCGAGAGCTCGACTAAATGAGGGGTTATCATGACCTAGAGCTCGTGATCGAGGTCGTATGAATGACAAAGGATGGTTGCAGAACCATGAAGTCGATACAACGATCATGGGGACTTGTTGAGTCGTGGTAAATAAAATAATAGAGTCCTGTTAGGATGGAAGTGTATCTTGCTATAGCACCTAGAATAGCTTGGGGAACCGACTTGAGTGGTTATCTCAGGTATGGCTGATTCTAGGGAGCTCTGCTCATTCTCAGTATACGACCTTGTCAAGGAGCTCGCTTAGGCAGCTTAAGATACAGGTTGGTGCGATCAGAGGGCTCGAAGGTCGGAGAACCTCAAGAGCTCGGGTACTCGAGGGGACCTCATTACCCGTAGGTCGTAGAGGTGGAGGTTATGATTACGACCTAGATACAACTCACAGTAGGTAGGTATTAGGGTCATGGTTACGACCTCAGGACCTAAGAGTCGTGTGGAAGAGGGGATGAAATCTTTTAGGGATGGAAAATATATCTTGCTAAGGAGTCTCAGATCATAGAGACGTAGTAAGTTAGAAAGTGGATACGAGAGAAATTCTTTCTTAACTATGACTCTCTTAGGCATCAAGATACCGTATTTAAAAGGGTAACCAGGTTCTTATTTTAGAAATCTCGCATGTACGCATACTTAAGCATACATATTACCGTCTTCTCATCACGAGCAAATAATGACTTGAGCGTCGGTGGTTTTTCGGCGGGACTCCTCCCAGCGTTTTGTAGGTTATCGCAGCTCCAAGTCGACATCCTTTCGTGTTCATTCCAGCTCAATCCGGTTCAAGGCAATTGCACATTAAATTGACGTCGTCTGTGGAAAAAACTAGTCTTTTACCGGCTAAAAGGAACTGATCGATTTTTCTCACAAGAAGTTTTTGAGAGATTTTGAAGATTATGACAGGCAATAGCTCCAAGAAGAATTTGACTAGGAAATTGAATTAAGCGTGGACGTCGCTAGTAATTGGGATAGGCTCCTCGCCGGGTATGTCGAGGTCGAACGGCGTGCTTATCACGCCTTAGGAGACGTTGACAGCACCTTACACAACGTTAACCCCAATTTCATTTTCAAACGCATCAAGGAGACGTCCAGCGAGGTAGGCGTCGGTGGTCGTCAGGGTGCAACAACAGGATGATCCAGGGGTCAACTGACCTCAGAAACAGATAGAAGGACAATTATTGAATCACAAGGAATAGATGGTTCCCAGGGGAGACCAAGTTATCCAACTTACAAAGGCAGAGGACATAATCATGGTAGAGGAAGTAGCTCGAGCTCGGGCACCCGGTCAAGTGAATCTCGATGGACCACCACCACAACCTTAGAGAAGACCGAAAGAGGTGGAGGTGAGGTCGGCAGACTTGTCCACTACCATATCACGGCCAGTTCCAGATGCCACACTCGAAAGAATGGCACCCCAACTGTGGGAGCTGCAGGCTCAGGTTAAAGGTAGGGTAACACCTCGAATCTATGTTCACCCGTTTGCTGAAGAGGTTCTGGAGGCAGATTTGCCTAAAATTTTCTTGAACTGAATTTATTTTATGATGGTTTGACGGATCCAACTAGGCATCTGAGGTCATTCGATTTCGTAGCGGTCCTCTACAGATACAACTATGCGGTTTGTTGTAGGGCTTTCGTTACCACACTAAAGGGGATAGCTAAGGATTGGTTCCACCAGTTGTCAGTCGGGTCGGTTTACAGTTTTGAGAGATTCAGATCTTAGTTTATTAATCAATTCTCGAGCACGGGGAAGAACAAGAAGACCTACCTAGCGCTGATCGGTATGCAAAAGAGAAAGGAGGAGACTCTCCGCATGTATGTTTGGAAAAAGTGGCTCACGAAGCATATTTGTACTCATTTTGCTACCAACTAAAAAGGTTATTTTTATTTTTATGTTTTTTTTTCTGTATTACTATTTTTCATTTGTAATCTTCATTTAAGTTTTTTTATCTAATAATGTTATTTGTATTTTTAACATTTAAAATTAAGTATTTCGATTAATAAAATACATATATTTTTATTACAAATAGAATATAAAAGTAATATTGAATGAGTGGGTAATGAGTGACATATGTTTGCATGTAAATGAATTAACCAATGTGGGTGATTGGGTGTGTGTTTAAATGGAGATATGTTTAGTGAAAAGATGATGTGGACATAATGTGGATCAGAGAGTGTATTAATTCTGATTAAATGAACGGTGACAGGTG